CCTTTCTCTTTATTATTCTTAAATACCTTTTTTTGCTATTTTTATATTAGCCTTTTTAGCATAAAGCAAAAAGTTACTTATAATTTTTTTATTTTAATTATTTACAATTATTAAAATAAAATATTTTAACGGGTTTCTGATTCTAAAAAACTCAGGATAATAAAAAGTAAAATAAATTTAAAAAAACATATTAATCATGTTACCTACTTAAACATAAAGCTAATAAAAACAGTACTGATTGGAGAATGAAGAGCGATAACAATCGACAATAATGACATGTTTTTAACATTTTTTTCAGCGGCGCTGACTCCATAGGAACGATCATCTAGCTCTCAATCTATTTAAATATATTATAAAATAGATATTATCCACTCATATTATTTTAAACATCAAATTAATTTAAAAAATAACATACTCTATAAAATATTTATGTCATATCTGCGTTAAAATAAGGTTTTTTATATGCAAGGTTTATCTTTTAGGTAACAGATATTGTTTAAATGTAATGTTCGGTGGTAAACTCTTAATATTTGGCGTAAATATATACTGTTACTTATTTAACACATCAATACTCTGGTCAGCGTCTACATGACAGGATTTTCACTAGATGCAAACCCCTTTAAAAACCTTTGCCTACCACCCCCCCCTAAAAAAATTATCGCCTTCGGCGGCCGTGTCAAATTCAATTAAAACCTCCATTATTTACAATGAATTAATTACTATGTCATTATGAGCTTGCTGAAATATCTAAACCTTTTAGAAAGTTTTATTTGGAAAACAATGTGAATGATTGTTTGCAATATATATTTGGTCGATGAATTGTATTATAATAATTCTATGATAAAAGTATTAATTTTTACAGCAATAAATTTTATCTTATTTCATCTCAAAATTTAATAGATAACCCCCAAAAAATTTATCTTACCCCCATTAACGCAACCTGCCCCCTATCCCCCTCAAAAAAATAGGATGCGAATTGTTCCTACCCCTCCCGCTCATGTAGACGCTGGGTGGTGTATATGAAACCACAGGCATGCTAGAAATCATATTTCATAAAAACGGTTAAATATTATGATCTGGATTATTCAGTAGCTTCATCAAATATATCTTAGAATCTATATTCTAAATTTCATATATTTCGGTAGAGTAGTTTTTAAGATATAAGCAATTGTGACTGATTGAAGTTGGTGAGACCCCACTGTAATAAATTAATAAATGATTATTTATGTATATTGTATATTAAAACAGAATCGAACATTCGAAAAATAATAAATAAAAATTTGATATCAAAAATAAATTAAAATATAAATCAGTGGTCGTATTGTTTATAATTAGTAGTTGGTATTACTACAAATGGCGACGATAAATGGAGAAAATAATTCCTTAAATGGAGATAATAATTCCTTAAATGGAGAAAATAATTCCTTAAATGGAGATTCAAAAAAAAAATAGCGGATTTATCTACGATTAAATTTGATAAATTCGAGTTGGATACTTCTATCCACAGATATTTTTCTCAATGAAGCCAGTTTTCGGTTAAAAAACGTAAGCCCATCTGAATGTCAATATAAAGATATATTTTTAACATTTTTTGGCAATAAGAATATTGAGTTGGTGGACCGTTTTTGTTATCCTGATTCGATCGAAACTTTATCTTTTAAGGAAATTAAGTCAATATGTTTTAAACTATTTAAACCGACGTCAACAGCTTTTGCTTCTAGATTTGATTTCGTTAGATTACGGAGAACAACTGAAACCATAACTGAATTTGCAGATAAAATTAAAACAATTGGCAAGCGTTGTCATTATCTTAATGATATTTACGAGCGTTTACGTGATCAGTTTATGGTTGGCATGGAAATACCGGGATTGGAAAGAGATCTTAGAGCTCTATATCCCGACGGTCTTGATAGAGATAATAATGTACTGACTTTTCAATTTATTCTTGATCTGGCATTAGCTTCTGAGCGAGCAGATAAAGAAATGGCAAATAAAAATATGCCAGTTGTTAATAAGATAAATGTTAATAACAAAAGAAATGATAATGATAATGATAATAATTATAAACATCCAATAAAATCGACGACTACAATTGATAAAGGCTATAATAAAGTCAAGTATAATAATACATTTGATAAAGAGAATAATAAATACAAATATAATAATGATAAAGATTATAATAAACTTAAATGTTATAAATGTGGTTTTATTCATAACCGAGAAGTGAGATGTCCAGCTACAAATGCGGCATGTAATAAATGTAAAAAAATTGGTCATTTTGCAGTTTGCTGTAAATCAAAGAATTTAAATTATATAAGAGTGTCATCAAGTGATTCTATTCATAATATTTGGAAGATTCAACAAAATCGAGAGAATCGAGCAAAACTAACTGCAGAGATAAATGGGTTAGATCTTGAATTTGATTTTGACACTGGTGCACAAGCGTCATTGATAGGAATTGATATATGGACAAGTATTGGGCGACCAAAAATTAGGCCAACCAGTCCATTGACTGCATATGGTGATCATCCGTTAGACGTCAAGGGCGAGACCCAAGTCAATGTTAGGATTGGATCACAGACAAGGACTCTACCAGTGGTAATAATGAATACAACTGGGGTGCCTCTTTTCGGATTACCATGGATTATATTCAATTTAGAAATGCCTCGTCAGGTTATGATTAAACAAGTACGCAATTTGGTCAACAATATTGAAAAAGAAAAATGTTGCATAACACTAGATTCTAGAATTCGAGATTTGATTAATAAACACCAAGAAATTTCGGAAGAGAATCAAGATTCTAAACATGCTTTGGATATTCGAAGTATTAATTTGGATGATATGCAATTGTCAGAAAATATTCTACGAAAAGAGTCGAAGCAAGATTTAATATTAAAAAAAGTAGCCATACATATTCAGCAAAGTTGGCGAAACTTTGATCGTTATAAAGATAAAGAAATAGTTAATTTTTATAATCGACGGGAAGAGCTTTCTGTCGATCGTGATATTATAGAATGGAATGGGAGATTGGTTATTCCTAATAAATTAAGAAATGCAGTGTTAGGAATGATTCACCGGGGACATCCTGGGGAAAATGCAATGAAATCTATTTTTAGATTGTACTGCTGGTGGCCCAGATGTGATGTTGATATAGAAAATTTTATCAAAATATGTTCTGGATGCCAGAAAAATAGACCTAGTATTCAAGAAGTACCTCTATATTCTTGGACTGTTGGAAAGGAACCTTGGGAGCGAATCCATATTGATTTTGCTGGACCAGTAGATTCGCGATACTGGCTAATAGGTGTCGATTCCTATTCCAAATGGTTAGAAGTTGATCTAATGCAAAATACCTCTGCTGATGCTATGATAAAACGACTAAAAAAATGGTTTGCTAGGTTTGGAATACCCAAGTACATTGTGTCAGACAATGGACCACAATTCTTATCTGGGGAATTCCGTAGGTATTGTGATTTAAATAACATACGTCATATACGTTCAGCACCCTATCATCCAAAAACTAACGGATTAGCTGAACGTACAGTACGAACTTTGAAAGGTCGGTATTATGCAACGAGAGATTCAATTAGCGATCCCGAAGAAGCTATGACACAGGTTTTAACAACCTACCGATTGGGAGAGCATAGTTCCACAGGGAGATCTCCTGCTAAAATTATGTTTGGGAGGCAATTGAAAACAAGTCTGGATTGGATCCGACCAAATGCCGAACACGAAATAGTAAGGGCTAATGATAAACAAAGCCTTCATCATGATTTACATTCAAAGGAAAGAGAATTTGAAATCTCACAACCTATATGGTTAAATAATGAAAATATCAATGGTTGGAGAGAGGGAGTAATTAAAGAAAGAATAGGACTTTATTCTTATATTGTTGAATCTTCCGGGAAAACATTACGGAAGCATGCAGATCAGTTAAGAAATCGTTTAGTTATCCCAAATCATGAAAGTTCTTTGGAAGTTACAGAAATGGTTGTGCCAGTGAATGAAGCAAATACAAACACAAATACAAATACCACATCACGTTGCTCATCAAGAAACCGTAAACCTACAAAGAGGTTTATTGAAGAAATCTAACTTTAAATTGTTTGAAGGAAATGTAATAAATTAATAAATGATTATTTATGTATATTGTATATTAAAACAGAATCGAACATTCGAAAAATAATAAATAAAAATTTGATATCAAAAATAAATTAAAATATAAATCAGTGGTCGTATTGTTTATAATTAGTAGTTGGTATTACTACACCCACCTAAATAAATTTGCATGTTCTATATTTTTTTTTATATTTGAATGTATTAGTGTAATTTTTTTTTATATTGAAGACCATATTATGAATTATCATGATTATATGATGGACAAGTTATTTTTTTTATATTTTATATTTGAAATTTGAAAAAGTAAGCTTTTTTAAAATTTTTTTGGCACAAATTATAATTATCCTCATCATCTTTAATCTAGGCTTAAGAAATAAAATTATTTATATTTTATCAAACTTAAGGTTAAATCTATCTTATATCCAAATATAAAATAAAAATAAAAATATTAGAGATATATATATATGAAATTAGGGTCTATTAAACCCCAACCGAGTACAAACGTCATTTTTTTCTCCGGAGTATTGAAGGGTTAAGAATAATCGTAAATAAAAAATTTCCATTCATTTAAAGTATAATAATTATATAATAATAGCAGAAAAAAAGTATTAAGTATCTATTAAAAACTGCATAAGTACTAAATTTATAAAAATATTGTCACACTCTAAAATATTTAAAATTAATAAATATTAAAAACCAATATTCAGTAATAATATATATTATTTAAAGATTATAATAAATCTCTATTGTAGATAATTTAATATAGGTAATTATAATAATCCCGTATTTTGGCCTATAATTTAAACCTCCATTTGACATCTACAAATCTCTGCATCAATATAATATTTTGTTAGTGAAGTAGTTTGTTAAGAATTTCATATGTTATTTTTTTCGGTGGGAATGCAATGAATAAAAATGAATTTTAATGGGAAAAATGTCTATAAAAATTTATGCCAGAGAGAGGTAGTATATTTTATGATTTTATTAAAATATTCTCTTTAGTATGGGCGAAAAAATGTTCAAAATACCACTATAAGAAAATATAAATTATTTGATATACTCTTTCGAAATCAGTACATTGACAAGTAATCTATACTAATTATTATTTTTCTTAAATTACTTATAATAAATTCGCTATTTATATTAGTTCCTGATTACAATATTAAAAGTAATAAAGAAAAGCCAATAAGCTCTTCCAAATTATTACTTTTCAATAGCCCAAACCATAATAAATATTCTAAAGCCTAAATTTGAAATTAGTGCTGCCAAAAGCCTTGATACATGCCCTTTTTAAAAAATCACTAAATCATCTAAATATATTACTTTAGCCTTAAGATTTATTAAAAATGTCAAACCTTTCCATTTATGGTAGTGTTGTTAAACCCTCAATTTGAGCTGATTTTTTAAAATAGCTAGCTCAATATTTTTGCTAGATAAATATTTTATAATCCTCAAGATTTTGTTAATAGATGTTAAAACCTTTTTGCCATCTATGGGCAAAATCTTAAGGGTTGTGTAATATTTTTCTGGATTGAGTGGTCAAAGAGAGTTGTTTGGCAAACTTTATGTACAAAATCTTGAGGTTTAAGTATTTTTTTTGGATAGAATCTTGATTTAAGTATATTTTTTTAAAAAACACCTGAATTTAGGTTTTTGACAATACTACACAAAATTATAAATATTAATTTTAAAATTCATAATAGGAGGCTTGACTTATGATTTTATTTAGTCGATGAAAAAGAAATTGTGTTTTAAACTTATTAATTTTATTATTTTATAAAATATTTGAAAATTATTACTATAACCCTATTGAGGTCAAAATTTAAGCCTAACCCAAATATTTTTTATTTCCATTTTCAAACCCAACAGATTGAAGCCTGGCTCAGATTTTATTAATTTTTTATTCACCTTGTCTGGATTTTGCTTATTTTATGGCCCATTCTAATTTTTATTCTGTTATTTTATTTGAAATATTATTTTGCAGATTATTAACAATGGAAATTGAAAATATTAGCAAATAACTAAAGGTTGAAGGACCCATTATATTCCAACCTGTTTGATTATTATCATATTCATAATCCAGGATGAGAGTTCTGTTGGGCTGGTCTGTCAGTCTGACCCATCTGGAAATTATTGGAAATTATGTTTGGGACCAGCCTAGATTTTAAAAAATAATACCATATTACAAATCAAGCTGGGCTTCTGATCAGACCCACAGCTCTCTGATATTTAGCATTGCTAAATTACTTAACTTTGACCATCTCTATTGTGGCTTAGTCAAGCTTTTAGCCTAAAAAATTGAATTTCAGCCTCTAAGTTGAGTCTCAACTTGAAGATTGATTGGAATATTTTTGGCTAAAATGGTGGCTACGCTGTTTTGTAGTTTACTAAAGTTAGGTAGTTTAACAACACTACTGATATTTATTATAAAATTTGAGTTTAAAATCATTATGTTAAGCATATAAAACACATACCATCAGCTGTACTAGGTTGTTTAAGATTAAATAATAATTGTTTAAAATAAAATTTATAATTGCAAAAATATAAATAATATATTAACATTTTTAAATAAATACAAAAACAATGGTACAACAAAATATTATGATTTATCCCCATAGCACCAAGAGTTAGAATTTGAAAAAATAGTTGATAGCTTGTTATAAATTAATAATGCTTATCATATAGTTTTTATACTGCCTTTAAATTAAATACTTTCCAAAGCAGTGGCTTATCTAGGATTTTTTTTTGGGTAAAGATGGTGGGTCAGAGTGGCAAATTTTTTTTTAAAAAATAGAAATTAAATTACCAATCACCAGTATTTTTTTGAATTGTAATTGCTAGGGCTGCACTGATCCACAGTTTTTTTAACAGACCCTATCTGATATTTATCCCAAACAACTACCATTTCCAATATTTTTAATTAATTTTTTTGTCATTATTATATATAATATTAGATAATGAGAGGGGAAAAAAATATGTACATAATTTTTTTCGAAAGCTTTTTAATTAGAATACTTAAAATTGAAAAAAAGTCTCAGAATGTATCCTGGTTCGATTGACTAAACAGAATGAAAATTAAAAAAAAACAAAAAAAACGTGAACAAATACAAAAAATAAGAGCCACCAAATAGTTAAAACTAGCTAAAATAAGGGATTTTTTTTAGACCTTTTTAAAATTCTAAAAATATATCTCAATCGAACGTCAATACCAAGGCTAATAATTTAAATTCTTTCTTAATAAAAAAAACAATGGAAATAAACAAATAGACAAATTCAAATGAACAAAAAATTTTGGGTAATTCTCTATTCTCTTTTCCTTATTAGTTTATCAATATATGCTTTACTTTAGTGTTGTTAAATGACCCAATTTGAGAAGGTTGGCCTGGACCAATCCTAACTTTATCTGAGAAAATTTCAAGAAGCGTTTTATAAATTATTTAAAATTTTTCGGGGGAGGGGTAGCTTTTATTCCTGGGATTTTTACTCTTCCTATTACCGTATCGAACGGAAAAACCGTTTCACTCAATTTAAGATTTTGACCAAAATAATATTATCCAAGCCTGGAGATTTTGCTCATAAAGGGCATTGACATCTATTTTTGCCAAATTTCTAGGCTTACATAATATCAATTTGGTAGACTCAAATGGGGCTTTTTAACAACACCAAATGCAATATTGAATTTTGAGTAGAACAATATGTAGTATTTATGATTATATAATTACAATGATTTTACTTACATTATGACAATAACTAACCATGCCCCCCCCCCCCCCTAATTGTTTCTTGAGCCTAAAAACACCATCAATACAGTAAAACTTGATTCCTGATAATTTAGGTAACGCCTTAATTTGACCAATTTTGATTCAAAATATAATTCCTATTCAACTAATATTGGTCTTGATAAATTGGGTAACTGAAGTCGGTACCCATATTAGACAGGTTTTATGGTATTTATTGAAAAATAAAAACTTGCTGCTACTAGATAACGTATATAATATTAAAAAAAATATATATATAATAATTAAATAAAATGTAATTGCTTTTTAGACTTAAAATAAATACCATAATATAATTCCAGTTAATTGAACAAAGAAAAAGGAAAGAAAAGAAAAGAAAAGAAAGAAAGAAAATAATTTCTAATCTATTAAAAAAATTAAAAGATCGATAAAAATTTTTTTTTATCGCTATTATAATTTTTAACAATTTTGTATTTATATTTTGTACTATATTTTATTTTTTTAAAAAAAAAGTCGTAATAAAAGTTTCATTTCAATACGCCTCCTGCCTATCTCTTTTTATTTTCGAGAATATTTCGCTATTAAAATAAAACTGTTTAAAAAAAATTTAATATGGCGATATAAACAAACTTTAGTCGCGAATGATTTAAATGGACCGGGGCTTGAGTGGTCAGGCAAGGTTTATAAAATAAAGATTTAAAACTTTAAAAGTCGAGTTATCGGTTTCCATATTGGTTTTAACCTGCAAAAATAATGCCCGAACAGGTCCACATCACGTTAACGCACCATTTTTTTTACCCTTTAATTTATCGATTTTAGAGACTTCCGGGCGGAATTGCTCATTTCTTGTATGGGTTTTAAAAATTAAAATTTAAAAATCGGGATGGTGTCGCAAAAAAAGAAATAAACGAATAAAAACATCTGGGCCTAAAAATATAAAATAGCGGGGATAGTAACTTAGATAGGTATGCAATTTGTTTCATAAGTAGCGTAAGTGTACTCGATAAAAAAAAATGGTGAAGTAGAGGCATTTTATTAAACCCGACGTGTCGTCTATTTATCACTGAACCATTTCTATTTTGATTTTTTTGAGAAATAAAATGGCATTTCGAAATATTATTGATATAATAATAACCTTTAAAAAATTTAGTTTATAAATAGACTATTAATTAAAAAAAAAAATTAAAAGACCTCGTGTGTATAAATAATTTGAAATTAATGATACAAAGATTAAATTAATTTTTTTATTAATTAAGCCTATTTAGTCACGTGTTCCTTGGTTTTACTCAAGATGGCGCCCATCTGATATCCTACGCCTCGACTTCTGACTGCCACCAGGCCATCCTCGATTACGGGCACGATTCCATCATCCATTCGGCTTCGGCAGCCGTTTCCGCTTTCCACGGGCAGCATTTCCAACTTTATTTGTGGTCGTTCGAGCCCCATCGCGGATTAAGACTAGTTTTTAGAAACCTATATATTTATTTTCCTAGCTTATTTTTTTTCGTTATTGCGAAGGGCGGAGCGGATTTGTTTTGATTTCATTTATAATCTACTCGTTTCATAAAATTTCTATTTTCTCGGTTATTTCTTCTCGCCGCATTTATAGTAAACGCGTTAAGTTGTTACAAAATCAAGCCAATAAATAGGTAAAAATTTATAAATATGAAGCGATATGATGATAACGCTATGATAAAATTTGAAAAACATATGTTGCAACGCGTTTATAAAAATATATGCGATACGATTATAAATATAATAGAGAATTCGATAAAAAGGTATATGATTTTTCATAAATATTATATAAAATAATTTTAACTTAAACTTAAATTTGTTTACCTTATGTTGGAACCAATCAGCTGTAATAACGCTGCGTTAAATATCGCACGCATTTACTATAAATGCAGCGTAACCCATATAACAATTTTTAAATGAGAATAATACAGATGATTAAGGGTCCATTTAGCCATTTTCAAAAAATGAGTTTTATGATCTCAACAAAATCTATAATAATTAATATTATCTATAGAATCGCAGCTCATTCTATTTCCTGTTTTCCTCTCCCGTTAAAGACTAGCGACGCCATTTTTTTAAAGCTTTGTAATTCTAAGATTCAAACACGGATTGAATGAATTTAAATGATATTTTTTAAAAATTTGGCTACCATTTTTTCCCCTCATCAAATATCGTCTGTTAATTATTTTTATAATTTTTTTTTCTATAAAAAGAAATTTGTTAAAATAAAAAAAAACAATGGCATCATATTCCAGAGTTGCCAATTATTATTTTTTTCTTCTCTCTTCAAATAATAACAAAATGGTGGTTACATTGTTTTTGCGCTCCTCGCGCATTCGTGACACATGGCAATAATTAATGAAACGTTGTTTAGATTTAGTAACAAGAATATCAACCAGTTTTTTAATTTAAAGTCGGTTGGCGCCCATCTTTCATTTTGACGCAATATCAGATGTTTCGTCACCAGACCTGACATATTATAAAAGTGAGTTTGCGGGGGTTTTTCAATGCGAAATAATAAGAAAAGTGAGATTACACGCGTGTGCAAAATTCTGCTTTACCATCAATTTGACTTTCAATAAAACTAATGAGAATGAAGAGCCAATTTTTCGCCGCATTTAAATGGGGAACATGAAAAAAAAATTTTGTTAATTGCTTTCACCGATTTTTGTTTAGATGAGATAAATCTTTACGAATTTTGTAAAAGCGTAATAAAATTATTGCATATTCATTGATATTTATAAGTTTTATAAGCCAACTATATCTACTATTATTTTTCAAAATGTTCGAACTTGATTTTATATCGTTCAATGTCATCACTTTAAGATATTCATATCTAATTATCATTTAAAATTATATCTTATTTTAGTTATATTGGATAATTGGTTTTTAAAAATAATTCTGAGCTACTTCTTTGTATGCTTCGACTTAGTTTTATTTCAGTGTCAGAAGACCCATTTAAGGAAGATTTTACAATTTGTACCGTCGTAAAATTCATGCTGATATTGAGCCTAAATAAAGAAACTTAAGAGATTTTATCTAATTTTAAGATTTCATGATTATTTAGTGGGATTTTCTAAAAAAATGTTCTGGATTTCGCGGGACATTTGGTCGCTTTATTCTGTTATTCTCTTAGGGGTTTGGGAAACTTGGAAGGGGTGGCACAAATATAGCATCTCGATTAGTAAAGGGATAAAGCGATAATTGCTGGAGTTCGGAAGTGGACACTTGGAAGGAAGGACTGAATTATGTATAATGATAAAATATAAATCCATCCCTCATTGAAACTTTCTATACACTTTTTTTATTTATTTTTATTTTTATAATAGCATTTTTTTATTAAAATTTTTTTTTATTAAACCCACCTTTCCATTTTATTTTATTTTATTTTTTTAATTTTTTTTTTTCGAAAAAATGACAGGAAATTGATTTATTTAAAAAGCGACAACTATAAATATTTTTTTTAAAAAAAAATGAAAAAGGAAATTTTTATTAATTCCTTTAAAATTTACACTAAAACACAAAATCTCATGTAATTTATTCAATTTTAAAATATAGAGCAAACTCGTTAATTTTATTTTCATGATCTGATTTAATCTTACTTCCTCCCGCAGGGTTATTCATCCCTCAATTTTTATCCACCATTTTATGTCCCGTTTTAATTATTTACTCGTATGTTCTATTTATCCATTCATTCATTCACTCTTATTATTTATTTTTTTTCCTTCTCAGTTCAACCGAATAATTCTCTTCAATCGGGAATACGTGAACGAGAACTCGTTCATTCTGGTCACCCAACCCAAACATTTTGGCGCGTCAATCATGTTGGAAAAATCGGCTCGCTCTTTGGCGGCGGAATGGAGGGTGAAAGATTCGCGAGATCTCGAAAACAAAAATATCGAAATCGAGCCGACGAATATGAATTCGCTTTTGATATACGCTTGCAAGTAATATTATACTCCTCTTTTTTAAGCTTAAGATATGTGTTTTATAATATAAACAATATAAAAAATAAATTCTATATAGTTTACCTTTTTTTTATATTCCTCTAGGTTTGTAAGTAATTGACAGTTATTATTATAAAATTATTGCTTACGAAAAGACAATTAGCCGCGGAGACAAAATGTCTCATATTATAGTGCGCATAAATTGAGCGTTTACGTTTTGCCGTAATTTTTTAATAAAAAAAACGTAACGCGTCCCTTGTTTAAATAGAGGTTGTCTTATCCGTCCGGTTCGACTAAACTGCAAATGCTTAGGTAAAAATTTTAGATATATATTCTATTAATTGAAGTGAGATTCATTTTCTTATGATATAATTAATTTATAAAAATTAAATTATTAGATATCATCAATAAATAAATAAATATACATTAATAGTTGTATTTCCTTTTATCTCATAAAAAATAGTTAAAATCATTTAATATAATTAAATTAAAAAAACTTATAGTTACATCTTAATTTTTTTTTAATATTAAATCCTTAAGTTGGCGTATTTCAATTAATAGAATATATATCAAATTTTTACCTAAGCATTTGCAGTTTAGTCAACCCCATATCCGTCTATTCAAATTTTTAAAAAAGTTCTAAAAAAATAGGATTTGTCTTTGGAAATTATTATCGTCTGCGTTCTTATTTCTTTAATTTCTAAATATTCCTTTTTAGGATATAATATAATATTAGGTTACAGTCCGCAATTACTATTATTAAAAAATGTTAAAAAAGCAAATAAGCTAAAATGGCTGACAAAATGGCCCCTATAAGTTTGAAGCGAGAGATTTAAAAATATTAAAAAATTTAAACTTTACAGATTAGACAGATTTTACTATTTAAAGTAAATTATTTATTATTTAATTAATTTGATATAAAGAAAAGTTTATTAATATAAATATTAGAAAATATATAATTTTAGTATTAAATATTTATATAAATTAATAATATAATATAATATTGAAAATACATATTTATTTAAATTAGATATAATATGTAAATTATGATGTAAATATATTAAATTGTAAGATTATAAGATTTTATTAAAATATAATAATTAATATAATTTATTTAATATATTTATAATATAAATTGCATATTTTAATATTATTAACATATTTAATAAATAGAATTTATTCAATATTATATATATTTTTTATAATAATTCATAACAAATTTTTCTTCTGCATTAGATAACTTATCTGTTTAACAATAAAAATATAAATCAATTTTTTTGTAATATTTATTATAAAAAAATAACCTAGAATGGTAAACTAGGAGTAATTTATTTACCTCGTTTTCTGTATATAATTTCATGAGACTTGTAGCTGGGTAGAAAATATATTTGAGGGTAAATGGAAAATAGATATTTATTATTTCTATAAATATCACATTTACTCATATATTTTAATATTTTTTGTTATTTCTAATGATTAATGAAATCGTTAATTTTTTTTACTAGGAACTATATAAATAAAATTTTTACAGTAGGTATATATACTTATTATTCCTTTAAATATCTGATTAACTCATTTTTTTTGTTTTTTCTAATGATTAATGGGATCGTTGATTATTTTTTCTTACTAAGAACTCCTTTGATAAAATTTTTACAGTAGGTTATTACGATTATTTCTTTAAATATCTGATTAACTAATTTTTTTTGTTATTTCTAAAGATTAATGGGATCGTTGATTATTTTTTCTTACTAAGAACTCCTTTGATAAAATTTTTACAGTAGGTTATTACTATTATTCCTTTAAATATCTGATTAACTAATTTTTTTTGTTATTTCTAAAGATTAATGGGATCGTTTTTTTTCTTACTAAGAACTCCTTTGATAAAATTTTTATAGTAGGTATTTATACTTATTATTCCTTTAAATATCTGATTAACTAATTTTTTTTTGTTATTTCTAAAGATTAATGGGATCGTTGATTATTTTTTCTTACTAAGAACTCCTTTGATAAAATTTTTATAGTAGGTATTTATACTTATTATTCCTTTAAATATCTGATCAACTCATTTTTTTTTGTTATTTCTAAAGATTAATGGGATCGTTGATTATTTTTTCTTACTAAGAACTCCTTTGTATAAAATTTTTATAGTAGGTATTTATACTTATTATTCCTTTAAATATCTGATTAACTCAATTTTTTTTTGTTATTTCTAAAGATTAATGGGATCGTTGATTATTTTTTCTTACTAAGAACTCCTTTGATAAAATTTTTATAGTAGGTATTTATACTTATTATTCCTTTAAATATCTAATTAACTCATTTTTTTTTGTTATTTCTAAAGATTAATGGGATCGTTGATTATTTTTTCTTACTAAGAACTCCTTTGATAAAATTTTTAAAGTAGGTATTTATACTTATTATTCCTTTAAATATCAGATTAACTCATTTTTTTTTGTTATTTCTAAAGATTAATGGGATCGTTGATTATTTTTTCTTACCAAGAACTCCTTTGATAAAATTTTTATAGTAGGTATTTATACTTATTATTCCTTTAAATATCTGATTAACTTATGGATACATATTAATTTCTTTTTATTTCAAGTGTATAATTTGACAATACAAAACATTAAATTATTATTCATTATAAAATTTTTCTAAAAATTCGCGTAGACAATATTAAAAATTTATTTTATAAGAATTTAATTACATATATCAGGTTAAATAAAAAAAATAATTTTATAAAAGTGCGCGAAACAATAATAAAAATGATAATTTTGAATTGAAATAATTTATAAAAAAAATATAACGACAATAAATATAAGTTATACAAACTGATAAAAAAAATATACAAAGGAAGGGTTTAGTGTACCATTCAGGCATTCCAATCTCAAGAACATTATGATTAGTATTATGAACTTTTACCATATAAAACTCTCCACAAATGATGGTATAACAATAGTTGAGGAACATAAATAGATTTTGAAATTGGCATAGACCATTTCAGCCAAACCCAACTACAATAAAATAACTTGGATCAACAGTAATGATATTTTTTTAATGATTTCAAAAAAAATATAAAACAAATTGATTAGATGATGGGCAAAAAGTTACCAGTATAAAAAAAATGAGCTAAACACCAATGCATTTTTTAGAATATAAATATCTGGATATTTTATCCAAATATTCAATGGGACTATATAAATTTCCACAATAAAGTATCATTATCTCTCTTATTTTATAATCTAATAAGATATATTTTTTTCTTCTTTCGGTAACTTTTCGCCCATCATCTAATTGCATCAACATAAGATCCATATCTTGTTCTATATTTTTAATGATATCAATAAATAAATAAATATTGGGGTGAGGATAAGAAACGTATTCCTTTAAAGCACGATTAAATCCTTCAACGTGGTTATTCGTCCTCACCCCTCTAACATCAAATGTGTTCCACATTTCATATTTGAACTTGGCATTACTGTTAATCCAAGTATTTTCAAAATAATTTAAAAAATCTAAAATAGAATTTAATTGAAAAGATCGAGCTTGGTTAGTTAACTCAATCGTTATAGATGGCACATCCCTTTCTAATAAAAATGGGATGGCCATTATAATACGAAAAAATTTATGAATATAAGGATTTCGCCTGTGTAGTTGGGTCAGGCGATATTCCTGAATGCGTCTTACGATGCATTGACAGAAATGGAAATAGCAACCCTTAGCAAATTCTTAGAAAAATTTCCTTTAGGGCTAAAAATACGCCATTTTTAAAATCTATTGTTGCACTTGGTGGCGAAAAAATTAAACCTAATGATAAGCAATAATTTTTTAATAAATAAAACATTCGAATATATGTATTTTTATATTTATCTGGTAAAAGAATATACGCACAGATAATTAATGTATTATTTATAATAATATTTATAGTGTAAAATTGTTTAAATAGTTTAGGGGCGGCATTAAACATGCCATCTAGATATATTTTATCTGCCAAACAAAGGCGAGATAAAAGTATACGAGTAGAAAAAATAAATATTTATTATTATCATTACAAATTAAAAAATTATTATTAGTTATTGTGACTTTATGTTCCTCAAGCAATGCTATATCAGCATTTGTGCGAGGTAAGAATGGCCGCGTCGATTGAATAACGCGTGCCATTATTGTTTTTACCGACAAAATTGGTAAGATTCTAGGATGTCGCATCGCAAAGGAATCTAATTTCCTTTTGCGCGTAACCTTTTTATATATTTTATGTAAGCTTAAATATTTATTTAATTTTGTTTGATTTTTTAATTCATTTAATGTAAGTAAAAGTTCATAATACTCTTCATCATTATCATGATTATGTTGCTTAGTCATCATAAAATGAGTACCTAATATACCCCCTTACAACTTTGTAAACGACATTTATAAAAAAAACGACATTTATAAAAAAATCCTCTATTTATTTGAATAGATTAAATTATTATTAAATTTAGATTTTATAAATTTATACGAATAATTTTCAATGCCTATAAAAGATAATTTCCAGATAAAATTAGTAGCATATTTTAAATTTACTTTGGTTAGTTGGAGGGATCATATTATTTGATGCTAAGAATAAAATTTCCAAATTAATAAGATGGCATATTTTAAATTTACTTTGGTTTGGAGGGATCATATTATTTGATGCTAAGAATAAAATTTCCAAGTTAACAAGATGACATATTTTAAATTTACTTTGGTTAGTTGGAGGGATCATATTATTTGATGCTAAGAATACAATTTCCAGGTTAACAAGATAGCATATTAGTAATATATTATATAATTTACCTTGGTTGGTTATGGTCTCAATTGTTGCTGGAGAAATAAAATTTTAAAATAAAGTTAGGAATATATTTTACTTTGAGTGGCTACTGATATACTATCTACATTTATGGGATCAGCTATAAAATAAATTTTTATAAATTATAAAATTAGAATTATATTTTACTTTGTGTGGCTATAGATTTAACTTGTGTTATTTCTAAGCAGGCAGGAGCTATAATATAATTATTTTATATAAGATTAACAAAAAATACCTGTACACTGTTTAGATTTTTGGAAGGTATTATTTTTAAATATCCATTTCCCTGCACATGATGGCCTGGTGCATTTGTAATACATAGTAGTATTATAACTATCATATTTTCTAAAATGTGACGGAATCATAAGGTAATATTTATAAAGTAAAAGTATATATTGAGCAATCAGCTTGTTAAATCGAGCATACAAATTTTAAGCTTAAGCAAAATTTAGCAAAAAGTCATGCGAAAAAATCCCTAATTATGGCTGAAAAATAGTAAAGGCGGTACGATACCATAAATATTACCTTATGATTCCGTCACATTTTAGAAAATATGATAGTTATAATACTATGTATTATAAATGCACCAGGCCATCATGTGCAGGGAAATGGATATTTAAAAATAATACCTTCCAAAAATCTAACAGTGTACCGTTATATTTTTTGTTAATCTTATATTAAATAATTATATTATAGCTCCTGCCTGCTTAGAAATAACACAAGTTAAATCTATAGCCACATAAAGTAAAATATAATTCTAATTTTATAATTTATAAAAATTTATTTTATAGCTGATCCCATAAATGTAGATAGTATATCAGTAGCCACTCAAAGTAAAATATAATTCTAACTTTATTTTAAAATTTTATCTGAAATATTTTCTCCAGCAACATTTGAGACCATAACCAACCAAGGTAAATTATATAATATATTACTAATATGCTATCTTGTTAACCTGGAAATTGTATTCTTAGCATCAAATAATATGATCCCTCCAACCAACCAAAGTAAATTTAAAATATGTCATCTTGTTAACTTGGAAATTTTATTCTTAGCATCAAATAATATGATCCCTCCAACTAACCAAAGTAAATTTAAAATATGCCATCTTGTTAACTTGGAAATTTTATTCTTAGCATCAGATAATATGATCCCTCCAACCAACCAAAGTAAATTTAAAATATGTCATCTTATTAACTTGGAAATTTTATTCTTAGCATCAAATAATATGATCCCTCCAACTAACCAAAGTAAATTTAAAATATGCCATCTTATTAACTTGGAAATTTTATTCTTAGCATCAAATAATATGATCCCTCCAACTAACCAAAGTAAATTTAAAATATGCCATCTTGTTAACTTGGAAATTTTATTCTTAGCATCAAATAATATGATCCCTCCAACCAACAAAAGTAAATTTAAAATATGCCATCTTATTAACTTGGAAATTTTATTCTTAGCATCAAATAATATGATCCCTCCAACCAACCAAAGTAAATTTAAAATATGTCATCTTGTTAACTTGGAAATTTTATTCTTAGCATCAAATAATATGATCCCTCCAACCAACCAAAGTAAATTTAAAATATGCTACTAATTTTATCTGGAAATTATCTTTTATAGGCATTGAAGATTATTCGTATAAATTTATAAAATCTAAATTTAATAATAATTTAATCTATTCAAATAAATAGAGGATTTTTTTATAAATGTCGTTTACAAAGTTGTAAGGGGGTATATAAGGTACTCATTTTATGATGACTAAGCAACATAATCATGATAATGATGAAGAGTATTATGAACTTTTACTTACATTAAATGAATTAAAAAATCAAACAAAATTAAATAAATATTTAAGCTTACATAAAATATATAAAAAGGTTACGCGCGAAAGGAAATTAGATTCCTTTGCGATGCGACATCCTAAAATCTTACCAATTTTGTCGGTAAAAACAATAATGGCACGCGTTATTCAATCGACGCGGCCATTCTTACCTCGCACAAATGCTGATATAGCATTGCTTGAGGAACATAAAGTCACAATAACTAATAATAATTTTTTAATTTGTAATGATAATAATAAATTATTTATTTTTTCTACTCGTATACTTTTATCTCGCCTTTGTTTGGCAGATAAAATATATCTAGATGGCACGTTTAATGCCGCCCCTAAACTATTTAAACAATTTTACACTATAAATATTATTATAAATAATACATTAATTATCTGTGCGTATATTCTTTTACCAGATAAATATAAAAATACATATATTCGAATGTTTTATTTATTAAAAAATTATTGCTTATCATTAGGTTTAATTTTTTCGCCACCAAGTGCAACAATAGATTTTGAAAATGGCGTATTTTTAGCCCTAAAGGAAATTTTTCCAAGAATTATTGTAAAGGGTTGCTATTTCCATTTCTGTCAATGCATCGTAAGACGCATTCAGGAATATCGCCTGACCCAACTACACAGGCGAAATCCTTATATTCATAAATTTTTTCGTATTGTAATGGCCATGCCATTTTTATTAGAAAGGGATGTGCCATCTATAATGATTGAGTTAACTAACCAAGCTCGATCTTTTCAATTAAGTTCTATTTTAGATTTTTTAAATTATTTTGAAAATACTTGGATTAACAGTAATGCCAAGTTCAAATATGAAATGTATGCTTTTTTGTGTTATTTTTTTTAATATATTTTTTTCATTAATTTTTCATTTTTTTAAAAAAATTTTTTTTAATTTATTTACACTGTCATCTTTTTTTCTATTCTTAACTTTTTTGACATTTATAATAATTGTATTTTATTTTTTAATAGTCTATTTATTTTTTTTTGCCATCTTTTCTCAATTTTCTTAATTTTTCATTTTTTTTATTATTAAAAGATTTAAATTTATTTTCGCTGTCATCTTTCTTCTATTCTTTTTTGATATTTGTAATCATTGTATTTTATTTATTTATGATCTATTTTTTTTGCCATCTTTTCTCAATTCTCTTAATTTTCTATTTTTTTTTATTAATAATTCAAATTTATTTTCGCTGTCTCTATTTTTTTCTTTTTTGATATTTGTAATCAATTGTATTTTATTTTTTTTTAAAAAAAAATGTCTATCACATTTACAAATGAGGGAAATAATTTCAGCCCTGTCCGGTTTTTGTAAAAAATAAACAAAATTAGGTCCAGTATTTGCAATTTTTTTATATTTAAGTCAGCTGTTTGTTTTTTAAAAAAAAAATATTTCACCCAGTTCCAGGTTGAGCATCTGGATTTATTATAATCTTATACATCCACAGTTCTTCTCCGTTTAATGGCGATTTCCAGATTTACCTAGGTTGACCAGATTTATTTTTTCATCCTGAATTATATGAATGTAAAATACATTTATTGTTATTTAAAAAAAAAACTCTTCCCTCGTTAAAATGATATCTTAAGTAAAGCACATATTTTTTTAATTGTTATTTTTGCCCGTTTTTTATGTTTAAAAAAATTTGTTTTTCTTTACCCCATCCTGTATTATACGAATAGGAAATAAGATTAATTGTTTTTTTTAAAGAAAAACAACTCTTCCCATATCCATCTAAAACAATAAGATCGAAGATTTTATCATATGATATTATGGTTAAAAAAATTTTAAAATAAAATATATTATAATAAAATTAATTAAAGCCTAGATAAAATCGGACACGAAACGCCGAATCAGCGATGTTATAAATGCTACCTAACGCTCATCTACTACGAAACGCAAGTCATCAGAGACGCTATCGATTATTACGGTAAATATTTCGGAAAATAATTAAGCGGCTCAAAAACGGCTAACTCAATATTTTAGCTAGAAACATATTGCCTAAGCCTCGAGATTCCTGTAATCGATGTCTAGACCTTTGTGCCATTTATGAGCAAACTTTCTATGTCTTGCGTAATATTATTCTGAATAAAATATTGAGTTAGCCGTTCCGGGACTTTCTACAGAAAAACCAATATCAAACATCTGGGCCTGATCAGTTTTTTTTATAAAAAAAAGTCTTGCGAAACCTCCACTTAGAACATAGGTATTGTTTAAAAAGCCCGATAAAGATTATGACCAAAATAATATTGTTGCACGCCTTGCGATTTTGCTCATGGATGGGGCGGGCGGAAAGGTTTGGGCTTTTAACTTGCCACTCGAGGCTTACGCAATATTATTTTGGGCTAAAATCTTAATCGGGGACGTTTTTAAAAATCGACCCATATTGGGCTTTTTAACAACACTAAGAAAGTAGGAATTTAAAAAAAATGGGTAAGATTAATTATCAGGAACTGTTAAATATTTATAAATCTTGAAACTTTTGTTTTGTTTGATTTTGCTTTTATGTTCCTTTTTTAAAACTAATACTTAGAGTTTTTTAATTGAATTTAAATTAAAAAGTGTTTTATTTCATTTTATATACATTATATTTATTTATATTAAAGAAAAAAATATAATATATAAAACTAGTTAAAAAAAATTAATGTAAACAATTTAAAAAAAGACGAAATATAAGAAGCTAGAGATCTGCAAACCACGGCCCGTACCCGGTCCGAGCCCCTTTTTTTTTGTTTTTGATATTGGTTTTCTTTATTTTTTATTTTTCTCCATTGTTTTTGTCAAAAATGCATTTTTATAATATATTATTTTGTTTTTTTTGTTCTTTTGTAAAGTGTACTTTTCTTTTCAAACTAAATTTTTGATTACATCTTGAAAAATTTTTTTATGCATAAAAATTACAAAAAGATTTACTTATAAAAAAAAAATTTTTGGCCCATTATTAGGCAAAAAAATAAAGTTTTTTTTCGAGGATTTTTTTGATTATTAAGAGTTGGGACATAGAGTAAGAAAAATGCGGTAATTTTCATTTTAAAAAAATTGATAAAATAAAGGGTATTTTGTAGTGTTGCTAAACGATCCCCTATTTGGGTCGATTTTTTAAAACGGCCAGATTAAGATTTCTTTAACAGGCCAGTGGTTTTTTTTATTTGAATAGTAGGCTGATATAATATATTATCTATAATAGGGTATGACTTATAATTGTTTTTTTGGTCTAAGATAAAATTAATGAAGGTCAAAAAATATATAAAATACAAATCAGGAGAAAAGGATGGCATAGAAGGTTATTCGATGGAAGGGAAGAGATAAAACTTAGGATAGTTAGAGCGCATAATGAAAAAGGCCGATTTGAGTCAATTTTTCAAAAAGGGTCTGATTAAGATTTTAGTTAAAATAATATTTTGTAATCATCGAGATTTGGCGAATTGATGTCCAAGCATTTCTGCCAGCTATGCGCGAGATCTTTAGGCTTACATAATGTTATTTTGGTTATAATCTTTATCGGGTCATTTTTAAATTAACTACACTAGGCGGTAGCAAGTCCTTGCCCACAAGAAAAAGGGATTTCTTAGGCTGGCCGGTTTTTTTCGTGAGTCCGTCTCAGCTTTGCTAACGAAGGTGGTGAGAATGGTACAATGATAGCCAAAATAATGTTATGTGAGCCTGGAGATTTTGCTTATAAATCGCAGAAAGGTTTAGACCTCCATTTTGCTAAATCACGTGGCTTACATAACTAATATTGCGTAATGTGTTCCTAACCAAAAACACGAGACACTTGAAAATTACATTAAATAAATATTTGTTGCGATTATACTGTCTGTCTCGTAAAATAAATTTTTTTCTAAAATCGCGCGATTCGCATTTGAACCTCGAATTTATAATTTTCGTTCAAATATCCATCACCGACCTCATTGTTTCTCCGGATGACCAACCATTCTCGCGGGAGGCTAAATGAATAAAATGGAGGAATACTCTACTACGAGATTGAAGATTGGGTATATATATAGAGAGTAATACTTTGAGTTTCACGCCCATTTTTCAGAAAATTAAAATTATTTTTGCGTACTTTCTCTGCAGGCCCGACCCGGCCGCGAACTTGCGACTTTCGTCTCGACTTGAAGCACGAACTGGCCAACTCTCACGGGCCTTTCTTCGAACCCCGTCAGGCTTGTCTCCCATCTGGCTTTATACTTTTACGCTTGGCCGATGCTCTGATAGCTTTTCGCCCGAGGCTCACTGATACGGTCGGCGCAAGAATCTCAAAGGAGAAGTAAGAACATTTTAAATTAATTAATTATATTAAAAATTATGGAGGGGGAGGAGGGGTTAAATACAGGGCTCTTTAACACAATGACGGGGTACGATGTAAATTGCTTAATTAAAATTAAATTCCATTATGGATGGGAGGGGGAGTAACGTAGGAAAGTACCCTCAGTAAAGTTATCCATTTTATATTCTACTTATCAGGGTTAGGGATCGACTTAGTGGGGGTAGAGGGTTTTGGAAAAGAAGATTGGGGGTAAGAGACATTTGTGATAAGAAAGGTGGTTATAGACTGAGCCGAAGGTTGGGGAAGGGTGTGAGATTAAAATTTTTTACAGGTTTAATTAATATGCCTATTATATTATATTTTATTTATCATTTATGTATTTTAAAATAATGATCATCAAATATCTTTCATAAATTAATTTGTTTCGGTACAATTTAATGATATATAAATATTTTTTTTAAAAAAAATCGGCTACTAGTATCCGTAAACTTTCGCTCAATAAAAAAAAAGATAAAATTTTGATCTCGGGAGATTTTTTTTAAAGAAGATTTCTTGAGAATGATTAAACAGGATTATATATCAAATTTTTTTGTTAAGTAAATAGTTAGCGATACTCACGAGGAAATCACAAATTTTTGATTAAAAAATCTTCAATTTTGTTTGGTCTTCAGAAATTTTGCTCATAATTTGGAGGAAAAAAATTTTTCTTTGAAGATTTTTGTTAAACCTTGACTAGAATAAAACCAGCCAGATCCAAATAGGTAAGGTCCAGGACATAGGAAGTAAGGTTAAATTCAAAAAAAGAAAGAAATTTTTTTTTAAGGGAACAAAATAATTTACTCCCGTTTCCCTAAAAAAAGTGTATCTCACCCAACCAAATCCACGCGCGGTCCTAGCGTAGAGTCCCGCTCAACGTATTACTCGTTCCGCACTTTGACATCTAATCGTGACTCTTATGATTCTCACGATGAAACGGAAGCTCGAAACACCGAAAATTCGCGAAACCCAACGGGGAATGATACGAATGGTAGACAAGATGAGGTAGTAATGAGTGTTGTTGATTTGCTTGTTCCTAAAAATTTCGACCAAATTTAATGCTTCAGGTCTATCTCTGAGCACGAACTCCGAAAACTAACACCTGAGCAAAAAATTGTTTAATTTTCAAAGTTTTTTTCCTTGACCTTAGGAAAGTATACATGTACATTATATGTATCAATCGATAGGCCGTCAAAAGATCTAATCTATTGGATATCAACCATCATCTTGATTCTATGCCATGGGGGGGGGTCAGGAATATTTTTATCATAAAATGTAGGTGTAGGTATCAAATAAAAGATGATTGAAATATCTTTTGACCAAAATAATAAAAATAAATCATTTGTTGTTATTATAATTATATATCAGACAAGTTTAATCCGAATAATCATAAAACTTTTTTTTATGTTGCAAGATAATAAATAAATTCTATTTATTGATCCTATATTCCCCTTTCACCCTGAATATAATTTTTTAATAACATTATTATCTGAACTCCGGGTCTGAACCAAACTCCACTCTCCCTTTCCCCGCGAAACTATGTACTACTTTCACAATGAATCAGATCCCCCCTTTGAAATCATTTGGCTTGAGTTCGTTTCTTTTACAGATCATGTATAGTTTCCACATACCATCAATATGAATATAATCTTAACTTGCATATTTGGATCTAATGTAAACACAAATAGTTATGCCAATACTCTGTCATTCATCAGCAGTTCATCATGCCCCTTTTTATTACAACCAATTGGTAGCGATACCCCCAAAACTCCATCTATTTATTCTCCGTTGAGCTTTAATTTGCCTTCTTCGTTTGATCATCCCATTTGACCAAATTACTCATATGCCATCCCATTTGCAATTTGATCGGACACATTAACTATTTGGCCACTTAATTTGACCATCTACAATCTTCCCCAAATTTTACCGTGCATAATGACCACTGTCAATCTTCCCTATGCCCAAATTATACTATCCATTTCTAAGTTGTTTTTAGACCTTCTTTTTTAAAATTCTATTATTTCCTAATCAATTTTCTTATTTTTCCCCGTCACTCATAATCAAAATTAAACCAAAACATTTTAGAAAAAACAGGCCTGAACAGAAAATCGGGTCTTAATTTTTATGGCCTATGTAATAATTGAGACGATGAACATCGTCTCACTTTGTTTAGGACTAATTGCGACATTAAAAAAAAAAATTTAAAATTTTATTAATGATAACCCAATCCCACCCCATCCAAGGCAAGGTTCCCCTACCCATTAAGACGATTATAGACTATTATTGCATTAAAATGAGAGCTAAATTTGTTTTTTGATGGCCACATTGAATTTATGTTAAATTTTAGACCCCCCCCCCCCCCCCCCAGTCCTAGACTCACCCATGTAAAATGATAATTAGTGGAAATAACTTTTATTTCATACTAATATCAATTTTATATCTTTTAACTCCTCCCCCCCCTTTTCCCTGTCATATACCCATTCCAAGTTCCACCTATTAAGACCAAATATGAATACTATCTTTCCATTCAAATAATATTTTACTATTTGATACCCATATCGAATTTGCCCCCCCCCCCACTCCAGTCATACCAATATTAAGATCGATTGAATACTATTCTATTATTTTGGCCGAGAGATATTTCAATTAGCTTTTATTTGATATACATATCAATGATTTATGTTGATAAAAAGATTCGTTACTCTCCCTTCCTTACAAGATCTAGACTCGCTCATTAAAAAGGAATAAGAAGGAGTCCCAGAAAAGTAACTCTCTCTAATTGGATAGTTCTTCTGATTAGCTATCGATTGATACCTATAGTGAACATATTTACTTTCCTAAGGTCAAGAAAAAGCAGCTTTAAATATAATTCCGTTGTTGCTCATTGCTTGTGCTCTAGATTCGTGCTCATAGCTGGTTTATGCAATTTTTCAGAGACCCTAGCCTAGGTTCGGAGCCTTATAAAACCAAATATTTAATCTTTTATTCAAAAAATATTTTTATTTCTTCTCGAATATTCAAAAAATCATTATTCCCTTTTCCTTCCCGAATATTCAAAAACATAATTTTACTCTTCAAAAAATAATTGTGTCTTTTTTATTTTGAAGTCATATTGGCCAACAAAAAGTGAGTTAGCCTCTTTTTTTTTGAAATATTAAAACACGATTCCACATAAAAATAAATAACAGATTGAATCCGATTTGTTGAGTAGATATTTAGATTTCGGGGTCGCGACTTTCGACGGGACGCCGCTCGAGTTAATCAAAGGTCACTTTTTTTTGGTCAAATTGATTTTTATTTTATTTTTTTTTAAAAAATGAAAAATTATTTTTAAAAATGAGTTTTGGAAAAAAATTATAAAATATATCTACGCTCTTGAAAATTTATAATGTGTAGCATTTACGTGCTTTTTTTTCCGTCAGTGTGTTGTTTTTTTTTTCAACGTTCGCGTTTTTAAAAAATTTTTTAAATCGGATTTTTACCGAAGTATGTTTTAGCAGGTTTTTATAGGATACCTATCTTTTTGTATTGTAGATAACCAAATATAAACTAATATTAAGTTCAAAAGTTCATTACAAAAGATGTCTGAAATTCATAGGGTGGGTGTTGCAGTTGTTCAAATAAAATAATTAAAAATAACATTATATTTTAAGGAACGTTAATCAATTTGATTTTTTGTTATTTTGTATTTATTTTTTATGAAAATGATCATTATGTAGATTTTGGATTTTAAGTGAAATAAAATTACATTATGGGAGAAGTTATATGTTTTTTTAGTGGCTTTTAAAGCAAGTATTTCAAACATGATGAAATACATTTCCGAAAATATCAGATTTTTTAAAAAAGGAACGCTCTCAAAAAATGCTTCAAAGTTGAAAAGCTAACAACACATAAATATTTTTTTAGAATATATGATTTTAAAAATTTTCTACTAATAAATCCCTTATTTTTTTTTATATTTGAATTTTATTATCTAAAAAAAAGGGTATAGAAGATATAATATTAATTTTTAATTTTTCCAACAATTTTTAAAATATATTACCTCTAGATAATCAGGACCCTTCACATGATCCATCCATTCAAAAAGATCAATCTGTAGGAGAAACTTTGAACGAAAGATATGATAACTCATCATTATACCTCAAGGTGGAGCAAAGGCTTCTGGACATCGAAGCCTTCCTCTCCAATTTCATAGACGAAACATTTTTCGCATCTTCTTCCCTTCACCCTCAATCTTCCCATTCCAAGGTATCCTACAAAAAACTCAAAAACTCTCCCCCATCCTATCACATTATCCATTTGGAGGGTGCCAACGACACGAGCTCGAACGATGGGAATAGTAGCGATAAAAATATGGCGAATAATAACGGTAATAAAAAAAAGGGCGGCAGTTTCGTGTCGGTCAATCGCTACCTCTACAAGAGCGTGGTGGTGTACGACTACGATACGCTCGTCCTCGAGGACGGAGTGGTGGAAAAATTTGGTAATTTTTTTAAAAAAAATATTATTACCTTGTTTTTTTTATAAAATTATATTATTTTTTGACTTGTAGATACCGACACGACCATACTTGATCTGGACTTAGAGTTTCTTCTCAAGGTCAGTTACACCGAATATTCCCCGTACGATTACGAAAACAGCAGTTTCTCCGACAATGCTAATCGTTCTACTGAAAATAACTCCCCAAATTCCGGCGCGAATTCGCAAAATCCGGCCGCCAATTGGAATGTCGTGAACACCTCCTACTTTTCGACCAACCTAAGATTATCCTGGGATTTTGGGAGCGATGGCGTAGCGGTAAATAAAGGGGAACCAGTGGACATAGATGGAAGGAAGCGATTATATCTTAAACCTGTCCTTAATCATAAGGTTAGCAATTTTGCGAAGGATGTAAGGAATGAAGTTATTTATACGGAAAACTTTTATTATTTCAAACAATGGATGACTCCAATGATATGAAATATCATAACAGTCAGACTGACAATCGTAATTTAAAGATGGAATTTGAAATGGGGCTAATTGAAGTCAGCTGTTGGGCATTTTGATTACGCGGATTTTTCGATTATTTTTTTTGCTTAAAATATATTATTTATAAACTTTTTTGTCTTCAGGTTTATAAATAATAAATTTTAAACAAGGAAAGAATGGTATATAATTGCAAAAATCTTAAACTTACTTTATCCATTAACAAACATAGTAAAAAAGAATGGCCAACAGCTGTTTTAAATTAGAATCCCATTTTTTAATGCATTGTGATTGGTCTATTGTTATAATATTTCTGTGTTATTTAGTTCTGGGGTCCTTCTCATGGTCGTAGCAACGAAAATAGTAGTAAAACTGCGGCCACCAAACATTTCGTCAACGACAATTTTCATACTCTCTCAAATATCAGTTTGCTCAAAGGTATAGTACTATTTTTTGTTTAAACATCACAAAACCGACCATTTTTTAAAAAAGATAAATTGACAATAAAATTTTGAAGAGAAGAGATAAAAATTGCTGATGCTCTTATATTTAGATAATTACAAATAGAATTTTATCTATTTTTTTATGGATATATTTTTTTTGCCAATTTAATGGTTTTTATGATAAAATCCGTTATGTATAATTTTTAAATAAGAAAAAAAATTGACTTAAAATTCATAATCCATGAGAATTTAAATATATATATTTTTGTGCAATATTGTGCAATTTTGTTTTTAAACTTATAATATTAGCACTAAAACATTCGATTTTTGTGAGGGTTTAATTATTACCTGCCAAAATAGATAAGTAATATCTTACCAATCGAATCTTCTATTTCTTTTTTGTCACTTATATTATCATAATAACAACGACACATTTTTCTCTATTGCTTTAAAATTTAATCATTCGGTGAATAATCCCATATTGAAAATTTTTTTGTAAAAATTTTGGCTAAGATAAAAGAAGCTCGCATATGGGCAGATACTTGATATAGAACATTGGGGTTAATATATGCGGGACATGGGCAAAGGCCTGATGTTTATTCTGCAAAGGTCTCTAATAAAAACGTTATCGTCATTAAAATCTATTGAAATAACGAGGGAATTATGATTATTAATCCAAAGCTGGGTTCCATGAATGATTCTAAATATCACAATTTTAAATAGGCAAAAATATATTTTAAATATTATTATAAATCTCTAGCTAAAATGGTTTATATTTCAAGGTATCTAAATATTTTTGATATAAAGTGCAATGCACTCGTACACTATTTTGATTCTGGATTCAAAAAGTTGATTTGGTTAGGGGTTCAAGGAGCATTTCCAAAATTCGGGGTTCAGGTTAGGTTCGCATTCCTGGTGGCTAGGATAATTTAAAAAAAATGATAAATTAGGTTTGTAATGGTTGAATATCTAATATGTGTTATCAGATGTTAATATATTTTGTCTTATGGAAAGATCTCTATATAGAAATATCTGTTAATAAGGTCTGAAATAAATTTTCAGTATGGTGCTATTTACCGATAAATTGTGCTGTAACACGCAATAAGTTCAATGATTTAAACCTAATTGTTAAAAAATATTTTAGAGAAATGATGTTAATTATACTAGAAATAATTTTTTTGATTGATTTGTAATAATTTTATTTGCATCATTTAACTAGGAAAGTCAATCAACTCAATCCGACACCCATCAAATGTATACTCTATAACTCTGTGATAAAAACTTATATTTTTATATCCATGACAATTTATATATTTTTTATTTATATATACAGTATTTTGCATGCATTTATTTTTTTTTGCGCTTGTGCCGTAATATAATTTTATATTTTAAAATGTTCTTAAGAAATATTAGTTTAAATAAAAATTTGTACTATATATTTTATAAAATATAATATACATGTCATTTATAAAATTTAGGCAATAAAGATGTTATTAAGTAAAATATATCAAATTCTTTTTATTTGTAGTTTATATTAGAGTAACTAGTGAGAACGAATTCTCGGCGAAGTATACAAAATATGATATAAATATAATAATTTTATATTAATTTTTTGTTTACTTCGTCACGCAGAGTTAATCTCAGTGGTGTCACCTCCAATTTTTTCTCTGACATTTCTGACCAACCTCTTGGACACTAAGGAAAAGCGATAAGATTGAAAGGTTAGAGTTATATGAAACGGTGTTAACATTATTTATTTTTTTTTAAAATTTGGTCATCTTTTTCTCTGTTTAGTGATAATTTCCAAGATTACCCGGGTAAGCCACGTTTCCCCCTTTTCCATTTTTTTGTAGATCTCGAGCATCACTCTTTGCGAGGTCCATTCTCATATTTTCCCGATTATCACCTAAAGTTATGTCATCTTAGGAATGTTGAAGGGCACTATATAATTCTATTCAAATTGTAACTTTGAATTCTACATATCTTGAGTTACGAATACCCCCTTTCTGGGAAAAAATAATTTCCAGTGCTGCATAGTCAAAGTTGTGGGGGATTTTTGAAATCATCTAGCTTAAAATTATTGATAAAATAAATTCTTTTCATTATTTTAAAAAAGTATATATTTCGATAAGTGGGTATCGACTGGTACATTTATTACTGGTCCATTCATTCTCATTTTCCTTAATTTCTCTATCTATTAAATGGATTATAAAATATAGCATAGTAATATACAAAATGAGTTGATAAAGTTTATGATTTTTTCATCAGAATGATAAACATGTTTCGATTTATTTCTTTAAAATGAAAAGATTCATTTTTTTTAAATTTTTCTCCCTTTTTATGTGCGATATAACCACTTTTCTGATTCAAAATTTCCCAAAGATAGTGGTTATATGTAGTTAAGATCTAACCTCCCGTCTGTAATTTTAGGATGAGGGAACGTTTTTCAAAGAAGTTATATATTGAAAAACACGAAAACATCGTCCCTGTCCTAACTTTCCGATCCCAGAAATGTTAATTTTGTTTTATAGAAAAGTTAACCTAATTGTTCATTTTCTATTCTAGTAGTAAGCCATTTTTTAGTCCAGGAGTCTTAGTAGCTTTGAAGCATTTTGCTTTGGAAATTATTTTAAATTTAGGGTTTTTAGTGGATTAATTTATGATGGATACATCTGTTTCCTATTTCCGGTATACTCTCAGTGCCTCTGTAGCAAAATCTCCCCTAGGTTATCAAATTTAGAATTATTTAATAGTATCAAGGGTTCATTATAACCAGATGTCAACATAGAGGTGGTCAAAATTTCAAGGGCTTACTTGTATGTCTGTAAATAAAACAATTATTTTAAATATTATATAAAAAAAAATTGCTGATTGAATTAGAATGGTAAGAAAATAAATAGTTTTATTTAAATTAATAAATTGGGGAAAGAAAATGCAAACGTGCTACTAATATGTCCCCAAAATATATAAATTTTCTAAATTAGGTTTTCTCCATAGACAAAAATGTTTAATAAAATTATTTTTTAAATTAAAAGATATCAAAGCCTTGTAACAGAGTTTGAAAGAAACCCAAAATTTTGGGCAAAATATCTAGAAGATTACAAAATTGAAGATTTTTTTTTAATTTCATCCTTAAAAATTTTTTGAGGCCTAAAAATCACTAAAGATTTTCTTATATAAATTATGTAAGGATATTTTTTTATCATTTTATAATTTTTTTTGTTTGATATTATTGGGCAAAATTGTTTCAAATCCATACCCACCTCACCCCAAATCCTGCGAATTTAATTATGCCTTTGTTTCCCTTTTATTCTAGAAGCCACTGCCTATTATATAGGATTATATTCGTTAATTTTTTTTCACCATCTAATTAAAAGGAACATACGAATAAACTATGCTTTACACATGCAAAATGCCCATTTGTTCTTATAGCCAATCCCACCACAGAAATGATGCATATAAAATCTTGGTAAAGCCAAACTCTCTTTGTTTAGGAATTAATAGTTTGTTATTTATTTTGATAACTTATCAACGTGGTTATTTTTAAGTTAAATAATAAAAGTTATTTTTGAGCTAAGAATTTTTTTTTAAATGAAAACGTTTTTCAAACTCCAAACTTAATCGTGCAAAAAAGAATAACTTTAAATTTCCAAATATTCGGAAACGTCGTAAGATCACATCTTTATTCCAATAATATCTACTACCTTAACTTCCTTGATAATCTTGCATTATCCTTCTTCAAGGATGTAAGATCTCACATCCTCAAACATACTAGCGATCCGCGAGAAGGCTTCTTCTTCTGACAAAGACTGGCTATAGCTATCCTTAAAAAGAATTATCAAAGTTTCAGTTGTAGTCTTCTCTCCACATATTTTAGCCCTACCCTTTATTTCTCTTATTTCTTATCATTTTACACCATATTTCACCTTTATGTAATTTAATTTAGAATTCGTTTTTTGTCCATATATAAATTTTATGTTTACTATGTTTTTAATAATATATTTTTGTTTTTAAATTATTATAGAATAATTGCTAAATTTTAATAATAAAGCATTAATTATCAAATTTAAAAAAAAATCAAATTAAATAAATTATATATATTTAAAATATAATATAAAAAAATTATAGTTATTTTGTTTTTATTGAATTATTTAAAGATTTTTACATGCCAATTTTAAAATTAATCCCATTTTCAGATTAAATATGTGTTGTTAATTGGAAAAGTATGAAGGTGTCATAACCCAGATAAGGGTTTGTTTTACCGAACCTGTTACAGATTAGTAACAGATGCTTACTTAATCAATTTACGTTTTATATTAATTTTTCTCTTTTTTATTACTTGTAATTACCGAATCAATTTATATTATTTTTTTAGTTTAAATTTTTTTATATCATAATAAAGAAAATCATATCGTTTTTAGTTTTATAATATATTCATTCCATATCAATATTATTGTGAACTTCTTGAGGCGAGTTAATTTATCCACACACCATTCTACAGGCTAATTCCCTCCAATACTGACTAATAAAGGAGACCATAACAATTCTCAGGGCAACTTGTCAATAGTACCAAACTAAATAAATTAATAAATCATCATATTGATCCATTAAATCTACATATAAGAAATATATTATTATTTGATATATAGGCGAAATTAATTTGACTCGATAATTAAATTGTAATCTTAGTTACGCGAAGTTTATACACTTTTTATTATTTCGCCGAAATATATTTATGGGTGAAATTCGCCATTTTTAAAGCATGAGCAAAATTTCCCATTTTTTTGTGCATCTTTCAAGATTTTAGATGAAAAATCATGAAAATTCTAAATTATTTTAAAAAAATGTTTTACCTTTAAAAAAGGGATAAATTTTCAAAAAGATGAAATAACTCATTTATGATCCTTCGCACGGAAATTTTTAGTAAAAGGCGAAAAATTTATGCGTTTTGCGAAGAATCTGAGATTAAATTTGTAAGGTATATATTTTAGTTAAAAAATAAGGTATAGTTTTTGAAGAACTAATATATGGGTTATTTTTTTTAGTAAAATTTTTACTAAAGAAATGTATCTTTGTAGTGACAAAGATATATATATATTGATTTTAAAAAAAACACAGATAATTCTTATAATATTCTAGAATGTCGGGAGAGATCAGTGGTGGTCCTCCAGGAATTAAAAGAAATAAAAGAATCCATCAAAGGTATATATAGTGATATATCTAAATTGATTAATATGACTGGTATTCTTAAACCCATTTATATTTTTAATTGTTAATGATTTGATAATCAAACATGAATATATTGAGGTAACAAATATATTTGATATATTGATTCATTCACCTTTGATTATGGGTATAAAAATACCCTCTTTAAAATCTCATGTAGGGGATTTATATGCTCTTTCAATATATATATATATTTTTTATACAACAAATTAATCACGAATCCGTAAGTGATCATTATGTCTTATCTTTATAACACCATTCTCCAGAGTTACTTGGCTTAATTTTGGTCCACAATTTTTTAATATATGGCCCTTTCCCCATTTTTTATGTTGGCTATCAAACAACCTGATATTTTTAACGGGAACTAATGGTGTGGCCCACTCCACTATATTCAATGGGTATAATGATGTCATCTTTAACCCATTGATCTAATTCCTCATCGATTTCATAGTTAGGACTTTTAAAAGATTATTAAGTAGAAGTTAAACTTAAAGAGGGGTTTTCGCCCATTTTTTTGGCTTACCGAAGAGTTCTATTTTTGATAAACAAAGGTGAAATATATCAATATATGAAATATACTATATTTGTTACTTTAATATATTTACCTTAGATTATCAAATCATTAACAAAAAATTATATAAATAAGTTTAAGAATACCTTCGTTTTATATGTAATACATTATATTTCTTGCTAAGTCATTAGTATATATATTGGGCACTTATAGAATAATTTTAGTTACAAAATTTTAGTCTTATTTAAGAAAAACATTTATAGAAAAATTAGTTTATAAAAACAATAAATAAAACTCAAAAAATATATGATTTGTAAGAAGAAAAAGGTTGATATCCATCAGAATTTTCTAACTATTTTATACTATCATTTTTAATTTGATTATTTCACATAAATATAACATTATTTAATTTGATAGATGGCGTATATTTATTTTACTTAATAAATAAAAAAATGTTAAAAAATAAATTATTTTGTTTATTTAAGATAATAAATTTTGTTTAAACCGAAAATATTTGTTATTAAAATAAATTGTAATTCTAAAATATTTTACATTCAAAAAATTATGATTCACAACTAAAATTCTCGATTACGACCATATCACGTTGAAAGCACCGGTTCCCTTTCGAACACCGAAGTTAAGCAACGTTGAGCCTGGTTATTGGATGGGTGACCGCCTGGGAATCCCAAGTGTCGTAATCTTTTTTTCTCCTTGTTTTAATGATCATCTATGAAATTCTCATTTATTATATTAAATACAAGAGATGTAAAGATAGGGAGATTTCCCGAATTTACCTTTAATATATTATATATAATATTTTATTGCAAAAATTATGGTTTATATTTTATTTTTTCAAAAATTTGATTATGATTTATTATTTAATTTATTACATCATAAATTTTAAAATAATTTTTATTTTCCTCGTGAGTCTTTAAACTCATTTTTTAATTAGTGGAACAAGAGTACAACTCTTCCAATCTATAATTTTAAAAGTACAAAACCAAAGGTAAAATGTTAAACATTATAATCTCATGCATAATATTAATATGATATATTATAGAATTGTTAATAATTAATGATATAAGGATCATTATATTTTAATCATAACTGGTATAATAAATTATTGATGTTATGCCTTGGAAAACTTCCAACATTTGGAAACATCATTAAAGATACAGCTAATAACAAGAAAGGGTATATATCAGTTTGCAAATATTGTCAATTAATATATTATTTCCCAAATTCAACAAAGATGTCTCAGCATATCAAAATAGGTCAAAGGTATATGAACAGTTTACTAATTAATAAAGTTGATAATAATAATTCTACTGAAGAGGATATTGTAGTATAATAGTATGTATACCAGATTCCAGTAATCCTAATAAAATAATATCCTTCCCTTCCCCAAAACATAAATAAAACCATTCTAAATATTTTTAAACAAAATACCAATAATTTTAATAATGTAATCAGGTACATGTAAAATTAAAAATATATTTGACACTGTAACTGAACAAAATCAAACACTTGACAGCGCTTTGGCATTACCTATTTTTATGTCAAATTGCCATTTTCATTTATTTGAAAAAAAAATATATTGAATAATAGAGACTATACCTTTCGATGAAAATTTTATATCATTTTAACGTTACATTTTTTTATATCAATTTGTATTTCACATAATTGGTTATCTTTTTTATTGTTAAAAAAAAGATATATAAAAAGAAAAATTGCTTTTGGTTGAAAGAATTTATAAAAAAAATGTAATTTATTAATAAAAATAAAAGTGTAATTTATGATAAAATAAAGACAATTCTGTCTTATTCTGTCTAAATATAAATACATCATGGTATTAATACATAATAGAAGATTCCTAAAAAATACTTAAAAAATATATTAAGATTGTCGTGTTTTGAGTTTTTGGTATAAATATATTCAATATAAATTTAATAATACCTTTTAAAAGATTACAAGTTATTTATTTTCAAATACACACTGAAATACAGATTGATTATTGAATTATTATCGGATTGATTGTATTTTATAAAAAATTACCAGTTTATATATAAAAAATTTGCTATGCAAAAACAAAACATTTTCTATGCAAAATAACAATAATCTATAATATTATTCGTACATAGACGTTCGTTAATAATAATGGGTTTTTATGTTCAAAAAAAAAATTTGTTTATGCAAAATTTAAAATAAATGTAAGTTCATTACAGATAACTTTAATATTCATCTATCATTTAAATATTCAAATCATAACATAAAAAAAATATATCTTTTTTTTTTAATAACTTCAACAAAGATTTTATAGAATAGTTTTATTTTCAAAAGTGGAGTCTTTTTTAGATAAATCTTTATATAAAAAAAAATGATATTAAAAATAATTTCAACAAAACTCTCATCAGTGATTGTAAGAAAAAAAAAAGGAAAAATGATTATTTAAAATTTTAAAAGTTTTTTTTAAATATATTAATATTTTAAATATAACATTATTCTGTACGATAGATGGCGTAAATATTAAAAAATTTAAAATCGAAATGATTTTATAATAATTATTTACAGATTAACTCATTTTTGCGCCCCCCCCCCTCTTTTTTATTTATTTATATATTTTAAGCGTCAATGTGTTTTTTTCCGCCAATGTAATATTTTTTCAACTTGAAATCATTCTTTTGAGCGTTTTTTAAAGATTTAAAAATCTGATTTCAACGGAAATGTATGCCGCCATGTCTTATGAATTTTAGACAATTTTTCCATGAAATTATAAACTTAATATAATTTATACTAAATTTTCCATATATTTTTTATATAAATTATAAATGGCTCAAAGGTTTACAGCAAAATTTTCTATAATTAATAAAGATAGAAATTCCAAATATATTTCCTGTAAAAATCCAATTTTTAAATATTTAATAAAAGAGCTCAAGAAATGATTTAAAGTTGTAAATAACATATTGCCGGAAAAAACACATTGACTCTAACATATTGCTTTTTACTAGTTTTTTTGAGTTGATTTTTAAAAATGACAAATTAGCCAAAATTAATATTATGCAATATAAAAATGTTTTTTTTAAAAGAAAAGAAATTACATTTTGGGCAAGAGGAGAGAGTAAAGATATAATTTTTTATATTTAGCTTAAAAATGATATTTAAAGATAAATGGCAGCTTTTGCTACAAAATGGGAAATTTTCCGATTCCCCATCCTAGGTTCCTCAAGGTGAGAAAGTTTTTTTTAAAAAACTGAGCAATATATGATAGTTTACCGACTTTAGGCATAATCTTCTTATCGTTAAATTTTATAGGGGTGGTTATAAATGAGCGACGAATTAATTCTTGTTATACACGGATCATGAGAAAGGCAATTTGGGCATCCTAACCGTAAAAAGTAGATGAGATTCGTTGGCGCTAATGAGCTGACAATGTAAATTTTATTTTATTTATTATAAAGAGCCCTGGATATTTTCTTAGAGCTTGATCAGTTTTACGCCTATGAAATTTTATCATACAATTTGTTAAAATAAAAATATAACTATTTTTGTTTAATCACAGCTTATTAATTTAGGATATTTTTAAAATATCATGATATTTCAGTACTCTCAATCGAGCCTTGGAAATAGTTGACTTAGATTCGTTGCGAAACGGTTGGTCTTTCCTAAAAGTTTAAAGAAAATTTATGGTGGAGATTTATAGTTTTTATAATTATTATTGCTTCTTGTTAAAAAGAAAAATAATCATGAATATGATTTATTGTAATTGTATATTTGAATCCCCGACAAAAATTAGAAATTGGAAAAAAAAACTAACAAAATTTTTGTACATTTTGACTAGTAATCGCCTTGGAAAAAATTTTAAAATCGTTAATTATTATTTCCTAATGCTTTTTTTTTTATCGAAATTTTTTTTTCAAGTTATAAAACATCCAAAATTATTTTATTTTACTCTAACGAGTGCTTATTATATTCCAGCTTAAAAATTATCGTAGGCACGGACCAGGATTTTTTTTATGCTTTAATTTTATTCGTTTATATATGTCGTAATTTTATAATAGGGATCAGAACAATCCCGTATCATCATGGGAATTTAAAAAGGGCCTTTAAGAATTCAATTTTTTTTAAAAGAACTTATTCATCACGTTTTTACCTAAAATATAATTTAAATTTACTTAAAGATTTTAACAGGTTAATTTTATTTTAAATTTTTTTCAGATGAAATATCTATTATTAACGAGTCATTTCCCAGATAAGGGTTCATTTGTCAAACCAAATTAATAAAATATTCTTGATTTGATCATCATCTTGATCCAATAATTTATTAATAATTCATATTTTATAAAAATATTTTATTATATATTAATTGTTATATAGGTGAAAATTTAATTTAGACACGATAATCGGCTTGTAATAATAAATTAAAAAAAAAGCGAAATTTATATTTTTAATGGTAAAGCCATTATCCTGTATATTTCCTTCCCTTTGTTTGCTTAATATTTTTGCATTTGACAAATCATCAATATTATCCTTTTTTTTTAAAAAAAATTAAATTTCCCTAATATATTAAAATAAAATTTTATAAGCTATTTTGTTTAGTAAAAATAAATAAATATCACTGTTGCGACTGAAAAACTGACTGAAAAACTAAGATAAAATAATTCTAAATTGTTGCGACTGCTAAACTCAGATAAAATAATTCTTTATTAAAATAATTTTCTTTATAAAATAATAAAATAATAATAATTTTCTTTATAAAATAATAAAATCGAATAATAATAATTTTCTTTTTAAAATAATAAAATTGAATTTTGAAAATAATCTTTCTACAACACAAAATAAAAAAAATATTATTTCATATTTTCAACAACATCTTGAAATTAAATCAATAATCCCAATAAAAAAAAAATTAAAAAAATATACAAGGTTATAACACAATCCTTCAAAACAGCTGATCCGAGTTCGAATCCCGGCTAATGCAAATATTTATTTTTTTATAGAGACAAACTGTAAAATGAATATAATAAATGAATAATTATTTATATTTAGGATCATTTTAGAATATTTTTATAACAATTTTCCTCAGAGATAAATATCGATTATTTAATAGAAAATATTGTATTAAGAAAATCTTTATCTTGGACCATTAATTCACAAATAAAATATATTCTTTGTTAATTATTATATAGGCAAAATAAATTTCGATAAACGAATTATAAATTACAAAAACTTAGTTAAGCTAAATTTATTACACTTTTTATAATTTTGCCAAAGTAGGTTTATAGATGAAATTCACAATACCCATGTAAGAATCATATCACAAAAAAAAGTATTATTATTATAAAAAAATTTGAAATGAGCAAAATTTACAATTTTTTTTTAGATCTTTCAAAGATTTTTGATGAGAAAATCATAAAATTTCTTGATTAATTTTAAAAATATTTTCATATAAATAAGGAATAAAAAAAATTTTTAAATAGATAAAATAACTCATTTATGATCCTTCGCATAAAAATCTTTAGTAAAAGGCGAAAGATTTATGCGTTCTGCGAAGAATCTGAGACTAAACTTATAGAGTAAATATTAGTGTTGTTAAAGTAACTAGTTACTACATTTTTTGCTATAAAATAACTGTAACTAGTTATATTTTTACCAATGTAACTGCAAAAAGTAACTAGTTACTTTTAAATATGTTTGTATAAATCCTAAATAATATATTACAAATAATTCATTTTATTTTTAATATGTTGTGAATAAATTTATTTTAAATTAAATTTATTAATTTAAAATTTTGCAAATGTGAACACTAATTGAATTTTACCAATCCAAATAGATTTTCTTATCCTAAATTGTTACATTGCTCGGTTTTTTGTAATCAAATTCAAGTTAATAAATAAATCTATTTTTTAATATTATATTTTTCTTTACAAATTTAGTACAATATATTTCATATTTTTTTCCCTCAAGTTGCTGGCAATATTTATACTCTGGAATTTCATAAGCAAAAAATGTATTTTTTTTAAAAATTTTACTAAATTAAATCATTTTTGCCTTGTAAAAAAAATAGGTAAATAAATTCCATGCTAAATTATACAATGGGATACATATATAATTAAATTTTTTTTTTCTTTTTAGCTTTCACCTTAGGTGGTAAGCTCCTTCAATATCTCTCTCCACTTTATTACTCATGCTATCTATGTATATCTAATTGATATTTCTGATCCATTATATTTGGATCTCTCACCGGAGTATCGCTATCAAGGCCAAAGCTACTTGATCTCACACCGAAGTATCAATATCGACAGATATCCCACCGAATTCTTATCGATTCCATTGTAATCTTGATCTTCCGCCGGAGTATCATTATCAAGTCCAATGTAGCTTGGTAGACATTGAGCTTAAACGGTTTTCGAGGTCACCATTATCTTAGCGCTGGCCAAGAAATCGTTATCATCCTTTAATGACCCACGAGTTCAGCTGGTCTTTTTATTTGATTTATTGAACAAGTATCCTAGCACTCCCGATTGTCCAAACCTGTCAGTAACCGGATGGCATTTCTCAGCTTAGAAATTTATCATATCATATGTTTATACCCATACGTCATCGAAGAATAACTCGAAAATTTTTATTTCCTTACCATGATTGAACCTGGAACCTTCGGCTTCCAAGCATACATCATACACCACTTGGACACGCAGGCGAAAAAAGATTATTTTTGTAATATAATTCATTACCTTATTATTTTTAGTTTATCACATTTTTTGTTTTGTAAAAAAAAATTAGTAAATTAAATTCAATGTAAAATAATACAATATGACACATATTACAATTAAATACTAAATATAATAGGCACTTATAGAATAATTTTAATTAAAAAATTTTGGTCTAATTTAAGATAAATATTTATATAAAAAAATTATTCCTTAAAAATTATAATTAAAACTCTCAAAAAATAGATGATTTGTTAGGAGTAAATGGATGATATCTGTCAAAATTTTCTAATAATTTTCTACTATTATTTTTAATTTTTTAATTTCACATAAATATATCATAATTTTATATGCTAGATAGCGTAAAATATTTTTTACTTGATAAATAAATATATTTTAAAAAAGTAATAAATATATTTTAAAAAAGTAATAAATAAAGAAAGGTAATGTAAAATAATTATTTTGATTTAAGATAATAATTTTTTTTTAAACCGAAATTATTTTATATTAAAATAAATTGTAATTCTTAAATATTTGACATTGAAAAATTATGATTTACATAAAAATATATTAAATCTATAATTTTAGGTTACGACCATATCACGTTGAAAGCACCGGTTCCCTTTCGAACACCGAAGTTAAGCAACGTTGAGCCTGGTTAGTACTTGGATGGGTGACCGCCTGGGAATCCCAGGTGTCGTAATCTTTTTCTCCCATTTTATTTAATACTAGTTGATAACCCGTCAAAAATGACGGGGATGAGAATTTTATTCGTTCTTTTACGATAATTTTTTTTACCCCTCCTCCTTCAGGCCAATTCCAACCCATTAAGACTAAGAGAGAGGAATTGTCTTTTTTATTCAATGATTGATGAATCAGACATTTTCCTTTTTATGAGATGTGATTTCGAAATTTATATTTTAAATTACAAAAATGAAACAATATCTCTTATTAGCACCCTAAATACTAACATTATTTACCAGAGCTCTTGTTAGTCAGAATTACTGTTCACTCCCCACCGCGTGAAGGTAGGAGATGGATTTTAGGGGAGCAAAGAAATGAAAAAAAGTATGAAAATAAGAAGGAAGAAATAGAAAAAAAGAGACAAAGATATGAATTATAAGAAAATATAATAAATATTTATACTTCAAGAGTTGATGATTATCGGGTTACAACACATATGCATTTGTAGCCATATAAAAAATATAATATAATAAATTTTATAATATAGAAAATTTTACCTAAAAAAGGAGATTTCAATCTCTTTTCTTTGCTCAAGGTGGTTTCGTTTTTGAAGATGATGTTGTGATTTCCTTGCTCGTAGTTTGTCGTAAATAACCTGAAATAAAACGTGTGAATTGAAATTAAATAGAATATACTGTTGTTGGTGAGGAAGATGGTTTAGCGATGGTGAAGAAGTTCTCTTTTCTTTGCTCAAGGTGGTTTCGTTTTTGAAGATGATGTTGTGATTTCCTTGTTCGTAGTTTGCCGTAAATAACCTGAAATAAAACGTGTAAATTGAAATTATAAAATAGAATATACTGTTGTTGGTGAGGAAGATGGTTTAGCGATGGTGAAGAAGTTATCTTTTCTTTGCTCAAGGTGGTTTCGTTTTTGAAGATGATGTTGTGATTTCCTTGCTCGTAGTTTGCCGTAAATAACCTGAAATAAAACGTGTAAATTGAAATTAAATAGAATATACTGTTGTTGGTGAGGAAGATGGTTTAGCGATGGTGAAGAAGTTCTCTTTTCTTTGCTCAAGTTGGTTTCGTTTTTGAAGATGATGTTGTAATTTCCTTGCTCGTAGTTTGCCGTAAATAACCTGAAAAAAAACGTGTAAAATGAAATTATAAAATAGAATTTACTGTTGTTGGTAGCGATGGTGAAGAAGTTCTCTTTTCTTTGCTCAAGGTGGTTTCGTTTTTGAAGATGATGTTGTGATTTCCTTGTTCGTAGTGCCGTAAACCTGAAATAAAACTTGTAAATTGAAATTATAAAATAGAATATACTGTTGTTGGTGAGGAAGATGGTTTAGCGATGGTGAAGAAGTTCTCTTTTCTTTGCTCAAGGTGGTTTCGTTTTTGAAGATGATGTTGTGACTTCCTTGCTCGTAGTTTGCCGTAAATAACCTGAAATAAAACGTGTAAATTGAAATTAAACAGAATATACTGTTGTTGGTGAGGAAGATGGTTTAGCTATGGTGAAGAAGTTATTTTTTCTTTGCTCAAGGTGGTTTCGTTTTTGAAGAGGATGTTGTGATTTCCTTGTTCGTAGTTTGCCGTAAATAACCTGAAATAAAACGTGTAAATTGAAATTAAATAGAATATACTGTTGTTGGTGAGGAAGATGGTTTAGCGATGGTGAAGAAGTTATTTTTTCTTTGCTCAAGGTGGTTTCGTTTTTGAAGAGAATGTTGTGATTTCCTTGTTCGTAGTTTGCCGTAAATAACCTGAAATAAAACGTGTAAATTGAAATTATAAAATAGAATATACTGTTGTTGGTGAGGAAGATGGTTTAGCGATGATGAAGAAGTTCTTTTTTCTTTGCTCAAGGTGGTTTCGTTTTTGAAGATGATGTTGTGATTTCCTTGTTCGTAGTTTGCCGTAAATAACCTGAAATAAAACGTGTAAATTGAAATTATAAAATAGAATATACTGTTGTTGATGAGGAAGATGGTTTAGCGGTGGTGAAGAAGTTCTCTTTTCTTTGCTCAAGGGGGTTTCGTTTTTGAAGATGATGTTGTGATTTCCTTGCTCATAGTTTGCCGTAAATTACCTGAAATAAAACGTGTAAATTGAAATTAAATAGAATATACTGTTGTTGGTGAGGAAGATGGTTTAGCGATGGTGAAGAAGCTTTGCTCAAGTTGGTTTCGTTTTTGAAGATGATGTTGTAATTACATGCTCGTAGTTTGCCGTAAATAACCTGAAAAAAACGTGTAAATTGAAATTATAAAATAGAATTTACTGTTGTTGGTAGCGATGGTGAAGAAGTTCTCTTTTCTTTGCTCAAGGTTATTTCGTTTTTGAAGATGATGTTGTGATTTCCTTGTTCGTAGTTTGCCGTAAATAACCTGAAATAAAACGTGTAAATTGAAATTATAAAATAGAATATACTGTTGTTGGTGAGGAAGATGGTTTAGCGATGGTGAAGAAGTTCTCTTTTCTTTGCTCAAGGTGGTTTCGTTTTTGAAGATGATGTTGTGATTTCCTTGTTCGTAGTTTGCCGTAAATAACCTGAAATAAAACGTGTAAATTGAAATTATAAAATAGAATATACTGTTGTTGGTGAGGAAGATGGTTTAGCGATGATGAAGAAGTTCTCTTTTCTTTGCTCAAGGTGGTTTCGTTTTTGAAGATGATGTTGTGATTTCCTTGCTCGTAATCTATTTGATAACATAAATTAAATTTTTTAACTTCGTTTGTTTTTATTGATTTGGGTAGATTAAGAGTCCGTTGAATGGCACATTTCGTCAATATGATCCGTGGAATCTAATTTAAATAAATTTATTTATTGTCATAAATTAAAATTTTTAACTTGATTTGTTTTTATTGATATAGGATCACTGAAAAAATTATACTTAGATATTGCACCAAAGGTATTTTGTGTAGGAATCTAAAAATAATAATAAAATAGATTTTAATGGCCCACAGTAATGTTCAACTTGTTCTTGATTTTCAGTATCTTCAAGATGATTGGATGTTGAAGCAAATTGTTTATTTCCAGTATCTTCAAGATGGTTGGATGTTGGAATAAGACTTTGTTCGTTCCTTTTCTTGATACGACAAATTGCCTGTCTCTTTCTAGCTTTCTCCTTATGTTGATTTATTATTAAAATTTAAAAATATAAGGATT